CACTATCTTCTTTACACATATTGAAGGGAGCAAAGTAGCTGTACCTAAAGAGAGATACTAGCTTATTGGTTTAAATGGGCTACTCTCCTTTCTTAAAGGGTAATGGTACAGTATTACTTTCAAAATTCAACCAGGACAGAAAACCTAGCTGATAACTATGGAAGTTCTTTCCTGTAAGATACTGTCAAGGATCTTTTTGATGCTTCTATTACCTTAAACTAAATTAGAGATTATTTTATCCTCCTCATATACTTTCTGTTTTACTGCTCAAGTATTCGCATGGTACCCACATGCATAGACACATCCTTTAATTGTTCTCAAGGCTTTTCTCATGAGAGGAAATCTACAGATATCAGAGTTACCAAGTAAATATAAACAGATGATTTTAAAATAGACATATTTGCCTGGCAGAGTAGCATACTCCTGTAGTTCCAGTCATTTAGGAGGCTGAATGAGAAGCACTTGAACCTGGGAGTTCAAGGCCAGCCAGGAAAATACAGGGAGATTCCATGACAAAAATAAAACAAACCACAGACATTATTTTGCAAATCCACATCTGAGCGGGATTTGAGGAAGAGAACATGCACGGAAACAATGCACTCCCTCTGTCTACACCTGTGTGGCGGAAGCTTGCTTCTGAGGCTGTGCAAAGAGAATACGAGAATCCAGCACTTCAGCTTCCGGCTCCAGGCTTTTCTCATTCTGCATCTTTTGCACAGTAAACAGTAAGAATTTTTGTGCCAATTTGTTCAGCTGAAAAAGTTTCTAAAGTTAGCCAGGCAGTTGTGGCACACGCCTGTAATCCCAGCACTCAGGAGGCAGAGGCAAGAGGATCTCTGTGAGTTCCTGGACAGCCAGGGCTACACAGAGAAACCCTGTCTCCAAAAACAAACAACAACAACAGAAAAGTTACTAAAGTTGTTTATTTTAAAAACCTGAAACAACAATCACTTTTGCTATATAACCAGGCTAATTTCTGGACTTTGTTAAATTTTAACCTGCCAGCTGTAATGATTCTTCTAACTCTCTAGAGTTACACTGGCAGTCAATATTTAATTACTGCACCTGAAATTTAAAACAAACTATGACTACTCTGCAAAGTCTTTCCTGTTATAGTTATAAAGCAGAGCTCTGTCAACAAAACTCCAGAATTATTCTATTAGATTTATATGCCTAACATATGTACATATACTCAACTAATTATACTGGATTCCTTCCTTTTCTTCTCAAGTTCCTTTTGGCAAGATCCTCCTTAATCTTTTCTTTTTGGTTTTTGAGACAGGGTCTCTCTGTATAACAGCTCTGGCTGACCTGGAACTTGCTCTGTAAACCAGGCTGGCCTCGAACTCAGAGATCTACCAGCCTCTGTCTCTCGGGTGCTGGGATTAAATGAGTATACCACCACTGCCTGGTCCTCCTTAATTTTTTCGATACCACTGTTCTCTGAGTAATATTTATCTCTTTGCATTTACCGGCCAGTATGAGAAGATACTGAATCACCATCAACTTTACTTAACTTTATATAACATTCTCTCTTTCTCTCTCTGCCTGCCTGCCTACCTACCTATCTATCTATTGTGATCGCAAATACATGAGTTTTAGTCTATCTGCCTGCCTGCCTATCTACCTACCTACCTATCTATCATGATTGCTTAGTTTTAGTTTTCTCCCCAGGTAATACTTTGTAACTACACTATTCAAAGTTAGATCACACCTTTTAAGTAAGAAAAACATTACATTAGGGCCACTCTTCTAAAGGCCCTTGACTATGACAATAACAGGGCTCACAGACAAACCAACCAAGTATTATAATTTTTCCGTGACTAAAGTTTCATGGTACTTAAAATTCTCAATAAAACACAACCTGAGTTGGGTGTGGTGGCACACACCTATAATCCCAGCACTTGGGAAGTAGAGGAAGGAGGATCAGAAGTTCAAGGCCAACACTGGCTACATAGGAAGTTTGAGGTCAGTAGGGCTCCATCTCCACGCCCCCCACCCCCAAGAATCCCAAACCCATACCAACCTTACAAAATTAATGTCTTAAGATTTCAGAAGCCTGAGAAGATCTGACAATCATAACACTTATTTGGCATTAAAAAAACTGCTCACCCTGGTTTCAGAAAAGTATAGATACTCAACTACTTAGTTCTGCACATGCAGCTCCCCATCATCAGAGTCCTTTATTAAGCTATGTGTGCAACAGTGCTAACAGGTACCCCCTTCGGTGTTCTGCAGACTAGTCTCTAACCAACCTGGGGAAGAATGCATCTTTTTCATGGCAAGGTTTTATATTAAAACACCACCACAAAGGGTCTAACTAACACTTAGCTTGGTTGTCTAAACAAAACAAAATCCAGCATGTTCCAGTACTCCAAATTAATTCAGAGTGACACATTAAAGTCTTAAAGTAAATAAAGAATAAAAACAAAATACTTAAGTATGCTTTCCTTCGTTTAGAGAAGTTGATTAATTCTTTCTTTGGTCTATTTACTTTTTGGTGGGCGGAAGAAAAACAGCCCACTAAAAATGAGACCTTCCTTGTGGCAAAAAAGACTATGAAGATAGATGGCTTTGATGCATTTTGACATTCTAATGCAAAATGACAACAGTATTGCTTAAAAAACACTGGACTGGATGTGAAGAGATTCTTCTTTTAAAGACAGAACCCATAGATATACTGTCTAAAAATTAAAAAATTTACATGTATGAGTGCTTGTATGTATTCCATGTGCATGCCTGATGGAGAGGTCAGAAGTGTCTGATCCCCTGGATGTGAAGTTCTGGATAGTTGTAAGCCACCTGGTGGGTGCTAGGAGCCATCTCTCTAAGTATGTGCATACATCATGTGTATGTGTGTGCATTCTTAAAAGTTATGACTTCTGCACTCCCTGAAGCAGTGTTCAAGAGATCTATTCTCAAAGTTTTGGATTTGATCCGTAGTACAATCAGAAAGTTCTGGAATACTCACTGCACATTTTCCCCTTTTAGCAAAAAGACTGGACTCAAAAACTTTGTTTCACCTGGGGTTTATCCCCCACCCCCTTCCCAGGCACGGTTTTCCTGTGTAGTCCTGGCTGTCCTGGAACTTGCTCCATAGACCAGGGTGACCTCAAACTCAAAGATCTGCCTGCCTCTGCCTACTAAGCGCTGTGATTAAAGGCATGCGTCACGACCACCCTGCTCACCTGGGTTTACTATATGCAAGTCTCACATCATTTCTGTGCTTTGGCTCTGTTCCTTTACGTGCAATAGCTAATTCTGAACTACCTACTTTTTTAAGATGAAAAAAATTAAAAAGAAAATCGTATGAATACCTTCATGCCTTTACAACAGAAACAACTACTACTGTAGCGTCTACGCTATTATTATTATCATCACTCTGTCATGTTTTACTGCTCCTTCTGAATTAGGCCACCACACTGCTGCAGAACACGAATCTTGTGGTCTTCCATTTGTGGTTAAGTTTTGCGATATAATTCTATCCTGATAAGTTCCGCCCACTCCAGAGTGCAGCTCCACCAATCTCAAGCTTGTGAAGTGAGTCTTTAATCAGTTTCTTCTGTCAAAGAAACGACTAGAAGTCCCACCATCCCACTTTCTTTGAACACACTCAGAATAAGATTACTCTTTGAACTTGGGGAGAGATGCCACACAGCGTGCAAAATAAAGGCGACTCTGCTCTCTAATCTTTACTTCCCACCGCCCCAAAGCTGTGGGGTTTGTTACATAGAAAAATCCAAAGATTCCTGACAATGGATTTGCATCAGTAACTGTCAGAGAGCAGCAGAAGCCCCAGACAGCAAAAACTTTACCTAGTTTGCAAGAAACAGCTTGCACTTGCTCCAGCTACTACTACTGGTTAGGTTTGGGTTATCCTTTTTGTCCGGTCCGGCTGTATCTATGAGGGAAAAAGTGGCCTGGCCCCAAAAGCACCCCCAGTCAGCTCTGGAGCAGGATCAAGACCCTCCCGAGTGCTGTCTGCACCCAGCCCTGCAGCTCTGGTTTCAGACACACCCCCCTCCACCCCGTGTTCCACGGGAGGTGTGGGCGCTCAACTCCTAGGCTGTGGCAGGGGGGATGCGAGGGGAGGCGGGCCAAGGCCTCAGCTCCCATTTTGGAGGACGGGGTGCTCGGGCCTCCCGGTTGTGCCAATGGGAAGTGGGAGCGGAGGACGCTTCGGGGCTGGGGTAGTGGGCCGGACGGGGGAGCAGGGGGGGGGTCCTCTCGGATTCGGGGGCGTGAGGAGGAAGGCGACAGGAAAGAATCGGGAGAGAGGGGTTCGCGAGGTGAGGCTCTCTTTTTTTGTGGATCGCGGAGGGCCGGCGGTGTGACCCGGGGGGGGGCCCCTCAGGAGAGTCAGCGCGGGGGTCCTCTCCTTCCCGGCTTGGGGTAGGGGGGGTGGGGGGCTCCCCAAGGGCTGCGCGGAGGCCTCGGGCCGCGGCTGTGCGCGCCAGCTGACCACTCCGCCCTTCCAGCGCCCCGCGTGAGGCGTGGGGCCGGGTGGGAGGGGATGGCGGAGGCCCCCGGTCCGGGAGGCGGGAAAGGCCCCG